AAAAAAAAAAAAAAACACCCAGAAAGACCTTTCTTCAGAACTCATCTGAAAGGTCACTTCCTCTGGACTGTTTCTCTGACCTTCCTGGGAAGCACTGGATTGTCCCTGCTCTGAGGTCCCAAAGAACCTTGTGTCGGAAACCCCAATCTGTTAGGTAGGAAACGTAGGAGGCAGTGAGCTTATGTTAATGGGGGAGGGAACAATTCAGAAAAGGGGGATGAAAATGGTTGCACAGCTTGAAGAATGTAATCAATGTCGCTGAATTATACATGTAGAAATTGTTGAATTGTTGTATGTTCTGTGTATATTCTCAACAACAACAAAAATAGAATAAATAATTAAAAAAGAAACCCCAATCTGTAGTATTATGATTAATTGTTTACAAGTCTGCGTTTCCTATTAGACTCTGAGCTCCAAGATGAAAGGGACTGTCCCTTACCCACTGGTTTATCTCCAATTTTATCTGTACCACAGTATGTGCTCAATAAATATTTGTTGAATAGGAGAATGAATAAATGGATGTAATTATGGTATCACATGTCTCTCCTATGGGATATGCCTGCCAAATGGACCAGTCAGTCATCTCCCAGCATGCACAGCACTGGAGACACTAATAAATCCTTCTCTTCCTCAGTTTCTCCTTTTCCAGACTCCTCAAGGACAGCCATCCTTCACCAGGTGTTGTCTATCCTATAGCCCTCTCTTTTGTTTGAATTTACAAATGGACTTTTCCATGTTTTTATTTACAAAGAGACCCATTACCCTTACCACTAAACTGTCTCCAAACATAACATAGGAAGAATTATTTCTGGGAGGGTTTTCTAGAAGGCAGTATGTCCCCTACAGGGTATGTTCATTATGACTACGCCTGCTCACCTGGTCTCCAGGCATTTAACCCATCTCACTTTTGGGTTTGTTCACGTCTGTCCATTAGACACTCTGACCAGGCTACCACAGTCCAACTCTTCAGGCCTAGGTTAGAGGTATGAGTGGAGTCATGTAGACTGATGGGTATCAGTCAAGCAGAGGACATTGGGTAGATATTGAGCCTGGGCAATCCAGGAACTTGAGCTCAATTTTTAGAGATCAGAAACAGTGAAGAAATCAGAAATTCGGGAACTTGATTCTTAGGCAAGTGCAGAATAGCTGAGGGTCTTGTGTTCCCTGTTAGGGGAAGAGTGGAGGCCTGAGTATAGATGGCCATGAGCCTATAGATGTGGAAGCTTACAAGGAAGGGAGAAAGGAGGCGGTAGCTCACAATAGGGAAAAAATGAGCGGATGGGTCACAGCTTGTTCCATTGGAAGGTGCTCTGGGCCCTGATATTCCAAAGAAGGTAGGCAAGTTTAGT